AAGGTGGCTTATGAAAAAGCAGCTGCTTCAACTCACAGTTCAAACACTCGCATCGATGCTTTTCCTCTAGACATTGTGCATTTGTATACAGCGGGAGTGTCGCGTGCATACTAACCATTTCGTCACACAGAATACTAAAAAGACGCACTCAGGGTTGAGATGTAAGAGAATTAATATTCCTTCTGTTTCCTCAAGGACATCCTTAAGTGAAACTGTCTTCTCTGTGTGCACACTGGTAAAGAATAAGGTGACAGGTGGGGCGTGGTGGCTCACGCTTGGGAGGTTGAGGTGAGAGGATCACTTGACGCCAGAAGTTTGAGGCCAGACTGGGCAGTATAGCAAGACCCTGTGTCCACAAAAATTTTTTTTTAATTGGCCGGGTATAGTGGTATGTGCCTGTATTCCTAGCTACTTGGAAGGCTGAGGCAAGAGGATCCCGTAACTCCAGGAGTTCAAGGCTGCAGTGAAATATGATCACACCACTGCACTCCAGCCTGGATGACTGGAGACCCTGCCTCTTAAAAAAAAAAAAAAAGAAAGAAAGAAAGAATAAGATTACATGAAGTATATTTTGATTCCTCTGCTTCAACTTACGTAGGCTGAGCTGCCAGTATGTTTACTCACCATTGCCAGTATGTTTCACCATTGGTGAAAATGCTAACACACTGAAAAGGACATAATGTCTTAGTATGATAATGAAGACAGTTTTGACTCTATGTTCCCCTTAAAGAGACTCAGCAGTCCTCAGGGGCTGTAGGCTACACTTCATGTATATTTTAGTGGTAATACAGACATTTTAAGTATGGGCTATTTTCCAGGTTTAACCAAATGGAAATTTAGCAGCTTACATTTTTTGGCTCTGGGATTTTTATTTTATTTATTTATGTATTCCATACAGAGTCTTGCTCTGTCAGCCAGGCTGGAGTGCAGTGGTGTGATCTAGCTTACTGCAACCTCTGCTGCCTGGGCTCAAGCGATTCTCCTGCCTCAGCTTCCTGAGTAGCTGGGATGACAGGCATGTGTCATCATGCCTGGCTAATTTTTATATCTTTTGTAGAGATTGGGTTTTGCCATGTTGGCCAGGCTGGTCCCAAACTCCTGATCTTAGGTTATCTGCCCTCATCAACCTCTCAGATTGCTGGGATTACAGGCCTGAGCCACTGTGCCAGGCCAATTTTTATAATTTAAATAATGGAAATTCTGTTTAGAAATTAAAATCAAGTATGCAAATTGAGGACCAAAGAATAATAAAAATGAAAAGTACAGCATTTGAAATAACTGTCAAATCCATAAAAGATCATATTTAAATTACACCTGAGTACATGGAGGTTATTTTTGTTTAGGAAATGCAGTGTGTCTGAAGTAAACATTTTATTCCTGTTTTCAGACTCTTTGATTATATTATTGTTCTGTGGTAACTGAATCTTCATTAATCTGAAGAAATGTTGTTTTCTTGCATTTGCATTGTTGTATTATATAGAGGAAAACTACATTTTTGCATTTTTGTTGAGACTTCTCTCTGGATGAGTGCTGTACCACTTAAAAGGCAGCATTGCTAGTGTTTTGTGTCAAATGCTTTTTAAAATCAATTTACAGAGTCAATTTCTGTAATAGAGCACCCAAGATTGAGATCAATACATTGATCCCTTTGTCTCTAGAAACTCAAAGATTGTGCTTTTCAGATGACATCATAGAACTTCTCTGTATGGACTATTTTCACCGCTGTTCATTGGGTGCCCTGAGAAGGATAAATAACTCTCTGATCCTTCTGTGAATGCTTGAGACAAGGTGTGCAACCATCATGTATCCTTGAAGAACTTGGACATAGAATTACACCTGTGATTAGGTGAACTTTAGCCACATTGATCTATTCTCACATTGACCAAAAGAGGGGGACATAGACTAGGGAATGTGACAACAGTAGTTAGAAATGTTTACTGACATTGTATAGGCCTGGGGTGGAACAAAGCATGGAAACAGAACAATGGTGTGAAGGCTTTTATTTTTGTCCCCTTGACCACAATTCTAATATGTAAAGTATAATCCATATACTTAACAGCTATGATCTTACCCAAACTCAGGATGAACCTTGTGATATTGTAAAAGTGAAAGCAGGTTGAATTAATGTCTATAATTAATGCCTTGTCAATTTGTATTGACGAAGATGCCCAGACGTCTACGAATATGAGTAGAATTCAAGCTTAGAGAAGAAAGAAAAGAAAGTTCTTGAAACTTCTGCAGCTCTTACATGAAGAGCCAGTGCCTAGTTTTCAGTTTAGTTGGAATATGTAATCAATAATTTAGTCCCAAACTCTAGCCTGTTAAAAATTGTCAAATATTAAGCTTATTTCTCACAGACACCTGCCACAGGACAGAAAACTATAATATTTCTGATGCTTATGTAGCAGTGACATTGATGATTCCATCTTCATCTTTTCTCTTTCCCAGCCCCAAAGCTTGGGAACATGTTTCTACATGTGTTTACGTGCAAAAAAAAAAAAAACAGTCAAAAAAGATAAGTGGATATGTAAATAAAATCTTCATACAATAAGTTACTCCCTGTTCATCCACACCAGTAAGGAACTGGGATGTTTTGACACAATATCTAACTCAGAGTTAAACTGGATTTACTGCTTTTTAAAGAATGAGAAAATAAGTAAAATTTAACATTAAAATGCCAATAAGTGATTCTGAAAGCTGTTTGGAATCCTAAGAGCACATCAAGGTTATCATTTACAATACTTTTTACCAGAAAAAAAAAAGCGTATTAATGGAAATAAATTATATTTTGAGTTTATTTGGGTAACTATGTCTTTTTCTCTATTTTTAGCTCAGTAGATGGTGAAGTTTTTTGAGATCAAGATCTATTCCCTTCAATTCCTACATATGCTTAGTTTCCTATAATAACTTTGAAACAAGTTTAATTTTAGCTTTTCTTTACAAATTTATGACTCATTACAAAGTGAAAATTTTATTTTTGATGAAAACAGATGCAAAGAAATAAAGTGATATGGAGCCTGGAGAAAAGGAGACTAGAATCCTAAACATTGTTCTCTCTGTCGGTTTTCAGGCCCCGCTAGCATCAGGGGTTAGTTTTTTTTTAATAACCTAAACTGCAAAATGGCAGCTGTGTTCAACAAATGATGCGTATTTACTAAACAAAGCAAATGGAAATGCCAGCTCTGAAGGGACAAGAACAGGTCGCATGCCTGAAGGTGTCATGTAACCACCAAATCCAGTTCGATTGGTAGTTGTATCCATTCCCCTTCATCAGCCCCCACATCTCTTTTCACAATTACTAACCTAGAAAAAGACTTTGTGTTTTCTCCATTGATTTTTTTCCCTGCCTAGAATGAAGCAGAAATACTAATGAGTAATGAAATAGCCCAAGGCAGACAACAGGGTAGAAAACAGTGAAGTTGATTAATCAATCTGTCCTGGATAATCAAGAGGCTCTAATATTATCTGTGATAAATCTAAACGGTAGGGACTTTTTTCATTGAAGCAAGACTTAATTTTACCTAACCAAAAGAGTGTACATTCTAATTGACTTTGGGTCCAGTGTCTCTTGGGAAAGATATTACTACTCTTCACTGTCCATTGTAATTACCTATCATTTGCCAAAACCTCCAACCAAGTTGAAATATAAAATGAAACAGCTGCCACCTTAAAACCTTGTTCTCTTTCAGGGCCATTGCACCATCATGGATTTTTTTAGTCTTCTGTCCTACCCGCTTACCTTTGATTGTGAACTTCTGCAACACTGTAGCTTTCATTCATTCTTATGCTCACATGAGACTTAGTTCTGTTGGTTTCACTTATCCCTTGTTCTCATGGCCAAATCTATATCCCTAGGCCTTATGCCTCACGCAGGCAATCAGCCTACATGCTCTCGTTTTTTTTGAGGTCCCAGAATCCAAACCTTATCATCCACTCTATACTTCCTTCTCAATCCCCACACTCTGATTTTTCTAATTAGTGGTGCCTCTCAAATTTCCCTACCCACCTGATTTATGTACCAGCCACTCAAGTCTGAGTCCCTGCTGTCTAGCAGGAATGCCTGACATTTGTCATCTTCCTCGTCCAGTCGGACTCCTGCAGTGGTCTCCTGACTGTTGTTCCTGCCTGTACTCCTTGCTGGCTTCAGCTTATTCATCACTGAAGCCACAGTAGTGTTCTCAAAACGTAAATCACGCTGTGAGAAACCCTTCCTCATCCCAGCCTCCTTTCCTGGGCTTATCATGCCCTGCATGAACTTGCCAACCCCAGGATCTTTGACCTGTCTCTTATCTCTCCGGGGCTCTTGTACTCTGCCCTGGACCGTTGCAGTAGACTGCCAACTGGTCTTTTTGTCCGAATGTTCTTCCTTAATTCATTTTTTTCTAGTCTGTTATATCAAGCTCGTACTTCTCAGTCTATTAAAGAACAGACCTAATAATTTGTACCTTTATTTACTACTCACTATACCAATGCTTAACTGTAGTAATGTCCATTTCTTCACCGTCCTGTTCCTCCCATTCATTCCTGCCTCCTCTCCCCACATACATCTTACTGTCATAATACCATGTACTTTTTCACTTCCCTGCCCCTTAGCCCATCGTGTTTTTCCACGTGAAGCACCATTTTCATTCATTTCAGCACAAAGAAAACGGACTTTGACTTTCCCTCTCCGAGTATAGCTTTAAAACCTACCCTGATTTCTGTCTTTAAATTCTTACTATATAAATTGTCTCTGTTTTATGCTAATAAATTCTTTTGCAGTGAACTCTTATTTGCCAGTTGCTTCTAGTGTACGTGTCAATTCTCCAGGTATTTTAAGGCCCTTGAGAGCGGAATAGTGTCTCATGCTTGTCTTCTGATAAACCTACTATTTACTGTAAGACTAGGCAGACAGTAACTTGATTACTTGATTGAAAATTCGATGAATGTTACTTACCATTTTTTTTTCAAGCCTGTGTTTTTGGAATATTTAAGCCTTCTCTTTGTTTTTTCTCTCCTAGAAAGTCATTTTTTAAACAACAGTCAACTTTGTGAACCCCTGAAGATTTTTTTGACCATTCCGAGTCTTAATGCCACACCACTACTCCAGCGAATTTATGCTACGACTGGTAACAATGACCGGAAGCCTGAAGAATTAAAATGCCAACACCAAACCTTTTCTTACCAGCTCTGGTCTATATTGCTCCCGTGCATTTTAATAGATTATTTTGTTTTATAACCACTTCTAAATATTCTTGGTTCTTTCTTTTTTTGTTGTTAATTAGGGGGTTTTGTTTTTGTTTCCTGTTTACTTTGTGTGCAACTACCTGCTTCTAATGACTCACTTTGATCAAATGACAGTGAACAAGGCCAGCCCAAGCTGGTAAGGTGCTGTTCACTTGGACAGGTGCTGTTGTGCAGAAAGGAAACTCTGTGACTAATTTAGATAGTGGCTTCCCTTCTTCCAGATTCTTTCCATTGAATCCTCACAGTAAATATTTACGGAGTTTTCCAGTTGCAGTAAATATACTGTATGAGAAAATATTAATACAGATTAAAATTTCTTACATCTTGAAAATTTTCTAATATTTGAGAATTTCACAGGGGATGTTTTTTATACTGGCCCCTTTTGACTTTCCCGTCCTGTGACTTTCTGCTGTTAGTAGAGAGTCAGAATCTCTGGACTGGAGAATTATGAAGAAGTTCACTGACTGTGCACTGTGCTTAGAGACCCTGCCGCACCACAGTGCCAATGCTTCTCAGACACAAGTCCATCGGCAGCATTCCAGAACAGGAGGGAACAGAGAGAGAAAACTCTTTCTTCCCTTCTACTAAAAGATTCAGGCAGCTTAAAACCTTAGTGCTTTCTTTCTTAACATATCCAAACTTCAATACTTTCCATTATTTGAACACTTGGGTAGAACCTTTGCTTTGTGTTAAACCTCCTTGTCTACATGTAAAACTGACCTTTTGTTATTGAGCAGGCCTATCTCTTTCAGATAGTTTGATGATTCACACAGGTTTGAGGACGCTGGGGAGAGGGGGAGGGGGCTGTGGTGGTTCTCTGTTGGTTCCAAGAAGATTTTACCATTTAAAGCCGGCACCAGAGACCTGATAGGGACTTATTAACTATATTGAACATTTTTTTCTTTGCTTTTGACCCTATGTATAGTTACGATGCCAGATTAGATTTATAGCAGCTTCAAGTTGTATTAAATGATATTTTGCCTCCTGTAATACTGTTATAAAATAAAGTTTGTTTATTCTCTAAACTTGTCATTTCTCTTTTTCTAAAGCTTTAAAAAATGAACTCGGTGATATTTTTCATCAGAAGTCTTAGTATTTTGTGAAAAGTAGCGATTCAAAAATCTGTTTTCAGTTCTTTTCTAATTTGATGATGGTGCCAACATCACTATTTGAAACGGTGAAAGCAACATTGAAAGTTTGTAAATCTAATGTTCAGCGTGCCAGATTCCTTCTGCTTGATTAAATAATCCATCCCAGCTTTTACGAATTCTCCAACGGATGTTTTTGCTTGTTTTCTTTGTGCATTTTTCATTTTGTTTTCAGGAAATATTTTAGCTGTACCATCTGAATCTTGCTTCTCTGCTTCATGTCCTTCTTTACTTTGAGTCCACTGGCCCTCTGTGTATCAGGCGCACCAGGCTGCTGAGGGGCTGCATTGGGATGGTTATTGCGATCATCCAGTCTGATTGGGATGGTTTATTGTAAAACTTTTGTCAGGGCACACCAGGTTATGAGCCTAATTATATAGCAAATAACCAACAGGGTATATTTCTTGTAAAGCATTTTATAGAATTTTTTTCTCTAGTCATTTAAAGTAAGTACATTAAATACAATTTGCATAACTGTCATCTTTGAGATCTGTTTCCACTAAATTATCTCTCGCCTTGTGAAAGGCCTTTCTCACTTTCTCTAAAATTATTACAAAAACAACAACTCCCTGGAGAATCCAATCTCAGCAAGCCAAGCTTTAGAAATACTGTGGAACCAAATGTGATTTTGCAAATGGATGTCTCATCAGAAAGTTTGTCTAACACTCACATTGAAATCATAGGTTGATCTTCCCAGGCTGTTTTGAAGACCCATTTGCAATGATAAGAAAGTTTGTCTTCACAGGTCCCGTGGTCTAAGAAATGTGGTGTGCGGGGATTTGGGCTCAGTTATATTCAGCGAAGACAGCAAGAACAGGGTTTAGGGTCCTGGGGGCATTGAGAGAATCTGTGGGAATGAATACCCACAGAGCTGCTTGAAGCAATGTTGATAATCCCACAGGTAGCTACAGAAGCAAGGCTGTCTTGTAAAAATATTGTATTATAAAATATTTCTCTGGCTGTTCTAATCTCATCTGGTAAATTGAGCTAAATGATAGAATAAATAGGAAAGTGGATCAATAAGGTTTTGAGACTTGGATTTGAAAAATTTGAAAAGTGGAAAGAATATTTTTAAATCCCCAATCTGTTTGATGGTAATTATACATTGGATGGTATTTTTGAATACATGTTTTCCACTATCTCCTGCTTGTCACTCACATGTTAGACTATATGTCATTGCCTACGTTGTGATAAATTCAGAGGCCTCTTCTGATTGGCACACCAATTATAAAGTCAGAAAGCAAGAAGCTTATGAGCATGCTTTGAAAATTCTAGTGATTTTTTTCATAAATAGAAATCAGAAAACTTACTTTCAAAATGTACTTAACATTATGCATTCTGAGAGTTATCAGAGTTCAGAATTTTGATGGTTATCAGAGTTCTGAACTCTGGTTTCTGATACTAAGTCTTGCCAAAGAACTTGAGATTTCAGCAAAAAACTATTCTTACTGTCTAGGAGTTTTTACCTCTTTTGGATTTTCCTGTCGATACTAAATTATGTCTGGAAAATTCTGGAGGCACTTAGCCAGATTAACTATTTTTTTAAAGGTTTGCAAATAATACTTCAGAAAACGTAATATGGGCCCTTTCTTGCCAAAATGTCTGTTCTGTCAGCTAGGTTTAGGATGGGGAGCACTCATGGACTTGCAGTTTCCCAACACCGAATTGCCAACATGATTATCAAAAGAGATGGAAAGATAATATTTACAGCTTTGAGTATTAAATTTTTAGCTGGTCACAGTGGCTCACACCTGTAATCCCAACAGTGTGGGAGGTTGAGGCAGGAACGTAACTTGAGGTCAGGAATTCAAGAATAGCATAGTCAACCTAGTGAGACCCTGTATCTCCCCCCTCAAAAAATTCCAGGTGAGGCTCTGCCCTCCTGTCCTGTAGCCAGAGGCTGAGGTAGGAGGATCGCTTGAACCCCAGGAGTTTGAGGTTTCCGTGAGCTATGATTGCACCACTTCACCCCAGACACACACACACACACACACACACACACACACACACACTTGACAAATTTTATTGAAAAATAATGACAATGTGACAGAAATTAAAGCACCTATTAAAGTGCTTTATTGAAGGTCTCCACTTGGAGAAACAGCATCCCTACTGGTGAACTGTTTCGGATGCTATAGCATTTGGAATACGATTAGGAACTGTTGTAGTGAAACCTTTAGGGGTGTGGGAGCATTTCTGGCCCCTGGAGCATAGGATGCTACTGAATGTAGGATAATGTTGGGAGACCGCTGACTTGGTCTAGGTGGAGGCCAAGACAGCTTTTTCGGCAGCAGGAATGGAAAGGACCAAAGCAGTTCAGGCCTGAACGGGATCTTAAACTGGACCCGTGAGCATGAGAAGGGCAAAGGCGTGGCTATGCAGCTGCTTAGTAAAGCTGTGCTGGATAAAGGCTTTGACAAATTTGTTAGCAGTGCCTTCAGGCAGATGATAAACCCTTGGGACTTGTCCCTTCCTAGGAAAATGAACATACTTCTGCTCCTCTACATATAAAAGACATTTATAGACAAGTCAGTTTCACTGGAGATTCTCTACTCTCATTGGACGGCAGAGAAAGAAATGGGTTTTGCTTTAAAGTACTAGGTAGCACTTGGTGCTGTAAACATGTCTGTATAGAGTTCATCTATTGTCACAGTAGCTGAGATGGTGGAACAGCACCCACTAGAGCCGGAATTGGGTGTCTGAAGTGCCCATTATTGGAGGAAGATGGAGCAAACCTTGATAGCTGAGCCACAGATTTGGCTGGCAGCTGCCTGAGATAGGAATACGATGTGTCCTTTCACACTTTCTGTTAAAGAAAGCATTTTTACATAAGCTGATTTCCACCAGGGGCTAAAAAGAGATTGCTCCCAAAACTGAAAGAATATTGTTATTCCTTCCATATGGCAAGAGCACTGTTACTCTGAATTAGTTCAGTCTGAAACCCCAGCAGACATTTTCATTGTGATCAAGTGCAGTAAAATGCAGAAATGAGTGTGTTTATTCTAGCAATGAGTTTTATATTATGTAAGAAGTGCAAATGGAGACTACTGACGGGATGGGTATCAAGAATTTTAGGGTGAGGCTGAGGGGAAGAAGTAGCAACAGTCCGGCACTGGTGGTGTGTTCTTGCTTTTGGTCATCCGCACAACCTTTTGTATGACTGTAATCCACACTGAAACAGGTGCATTCTTACAGGTGACCATATTCATTACGTTTTATAAAGTGAATCACTCAGCCTGTTAGTGTCCTGCACAAAGATTGGAATGTAACCAGTCTTACACTTAACAATGTATTGAACCTCTCTGGTTTATGTTCACTGGAAGAATGTGGGGAGCGCATCAGTAATCACAATCTAGTTTACCCCTTGAATTAAGTTTCTTTTCAATTATTTGTGTTGGCTCTTTGGGGCTCCCAATGAAAGAGAAGAATTGTAGTGAAATGTTGACTTCTCTGCATAGTTAGAAATAAATTATGTGAACATTCTGTTCTTTCCTTTTCCCATTACAAATTGCCAACATTTCCAGGTCGCATAATGCTGTAATTTTTGTGGATGATCCACACTTAGTGTGGGTGACTCCTCTTGTTTTTTCGTGTTTATTAAAATAATGATTTGTGAAAGCAATTAGGGAAAGGAGAGAAGCAAAGTCAAGTCCAAAAATGATACCTGAACAGTCATTTAAGATTTGCTGAACTGCAGGAAGAGCAAGTGGAAATACTCTTGCACACAGAATCTGCTGAGCTCTCTCCAAGGTAATCATCTTTTGCCATTCTTTGGATTTCTATCAGGGTTTCTTCACCTCTAAAATCAGAATAATATGGGTTCCCATGGGGATTATGTAGTAAGATGCTGCATAATTTTATTTTGTAAATATGCCCTTTAAAGCAGACACAGTCACAATAAAAGTTAAAAAGTTACAATGTGCCCAGTCTGTAGACCCAAGAAATCTGTTCTTGGCACTTTTCAGGAGCTGCTCCTTGGGCTGAGTCTCTGAGAAGTCCTCTCAGATAATTGCCACTTTTCAACATGGTTCAGAACCTGTATCTTAGTATTCTTTCTCTTTTGCCATGGTTCTTGTTTATCAACCTAATTTATTAGCTGAACTGTTGACCATTGCTCACTGACCAGGAGACACTCATTGTGCGTTAGTTTTTGGAAAGTCCCCAACATCACATCCATTTCATTCTCTGGTACAGGGAAGAGCCATCCTTGGGATTGTGTTGGCGGTCACAAGTCTGGGACAGTTCTTCATTAACTGAAAGGAAAAGTTTTAGTTAATAATTTGGAGACATCTGAGTGCCAATGGTCATTTAGAGCTGATAAAGGCTATTGGCCAGCATATCTGACACTGGTGGCCTTGGCGAGTCACAGAAGTCCAGGTCTTCTAAGCAGGTTCTATTACGGGCTCTATTCTTATCTTCTCAGTCACATCCAATGGAAATGTAAAGGCTTCTTTCTAAAGAATGGCTCTGGTTGAAGCAGAAGACCTCCCACTGTCATGAGAATTGTTACATGCTAAGTATGTTTAGATTTACCTGATTAAGTTGAAACCCCCACAGTAAGTCAGAGTGTCTGCCCTTGCTCAGCCCTCCCCAGGATGTGTTTGGGCGCTTACAGTGTTTAGACAAGTCAAATTAGTTTTCTCCCTTTTACCTTGTGGCATATTTTACTGAGGACTCTATTTCAGCTTTTTGCAACTTGCTCATTCCTTAACCCGTTCATATATAATTTCAGTTAAAGCTAATCTACTAAAATATTAAAACTCACCCATGACATTGAATTACTGAATCTAGTGGTATTTTCCAATCCCTAGTTTTCTTCCTTAGTAGCATTTGACACAACCCCTCTCTCTGCCTGCCCCCATCATTCTCCTCCCTTTGGCTTTTATTGTGGGCCACCTGTATACTTTTATCTGCTCCTTAGCTTCCACTGTTATGTCTCTGGCAATAACCAGATTTGATCTCTAGCCCTGAGATCTCTATTGAGATCTTGACACATATTTGTTGGGATCCTCCTGGAACATCAGAAGGCACAGCCCTCTTCCTGAAACCAATATACCCAACTGACCCTGCTTTCACCCTCAAAACTTTTATTTTCAGAAGTATAATGAATCAAGCCAGAGACCAGGAGCTTTTAACCTCATGGGAGATAATAAACAGATTTATAGACTTGAACCTGAAAATGCTCTCTTTGGCTCCCACCTAAAGCCCATGCAGTTTATCCCTTACTTGATACACTGTATGCCATGTATCCCAGGACACATACACTTTCCCTGACCAGGCCTCCACAAATGCTTGTCATGTCAGTCGGGGAGGGTGCATGTGCACTGAGAATGACAAGCCCCTGACAACATGAACCTCAATATTTAGTAGCCAGTACTCCCTGAGCACTTGCTGCATGCCAGGCACTGTGTGAAGCCCTTTGCAACCTTTCTCATTCAATTCTTGTGATGACATGATGAGCTGGTTATTATTATTCTTAAATTACTGATGAGCAAACTGGGACAGAGAGAAATCATGATGAAGTAATTTGCCCAAGATCACAGAAACTGATGAATTCAGGCAAACACGCACAAAACAAGGGGAGTCTCCCCACACTAGGTACGGATCACCCACAAATGTAGCTTTCAGCGTGATGCAACCTGGAGCTGTTGGCAATTTGTTAGGGGAAAAGGAAAGGACAGAATGTTCACATAATTCCTGAGGGGGAGAATACAAGTCTTTGCCTGTAGGATTTGATTCCAGGCAGTCAGACTTCAGAGACCACTCTTTCAGCTACTGAGTCACACCAACTTTTCATGGATTATTGCTATTTCAAAGGCATTCCTTTGAGATGGCCCATGGTTTAGACTTTTAACTCACTGAAATATGAGTAAGTTATTCCCCTTTATTCTTAATTACCAATGGCTAACTGCACACAACAGGGTGCTTTGAATGAGGGACCAGGCTACAGCTTGTAGAGCTGAAAATGGGTGACCTGAATAATGAGACTGGAAAAAGTGAACTCATAAGAGTGGAGAGAGAACTGGAATGGAGAGGCCAAGAGGAAGCTCATCAATCACAGTGAATCATCTACCCGGTGAATAAAGTGTCTCTACTAGGCACCATGTGGAGAGTGAGAGAAATGAAATCATACCTTCCTCTCCTAACAGAGCTTGCAATTTGGCTGTCGTTTCATTTCAATGGGTCTATTAAGGAGGGTGTGCAGAGAGACTAAATAGGCAGGTAGCCTTGAAAGCACCCAAGGTCATGGTCATGAAAAAATCCTGCAGACAATGCAGTGTGCCCTGTTATGTCACAGGTGAAGAAACATGATAATAATTATTATGATTCCTGTTATATTAACAGATTGATCAGATTCTTCAAAGATTTTGTAAAACTCTTGCTTTCTTTAAAACTGTCCCATAGTTGGTGGTAGGTTTGTCTTCCTGGACCAAAAGGATTCAACAGATAGAACCTCTTCTTAGGACTGGATACTCTAGAGGTGGTGTGTTGGCGAAGAGGGCTACCTCTGGAGCCAGCCAGGGTTCCAATCCTGTTTCTACCACTTTCTGGGTAGGTAACCTTGGGCAATGTACTTAATTATTCCAAGACTATTTTAATAATAGCTGCTCTAATGCTATAATAACAGAAACAATGCCTTCTGTTGTAAGACAGCGGGGGGTGGGGGAGGGTAATAATGACTAACAGTTGTTCAGAACAGGCACTGTTAAGAGCCTTATATATATTACCTCACTTAATCACCACACCAATCCTATAGCACGTCCCGCTATTATTTCTGTTTTACAGACCAGTAGACTGAAGCTTCAAGAGGTTGAGAAGAGTGAATGTGAAGTTCAGTGAGAGATGCCTAGCCAGCCTGCATGTTATCGGTACTTTAGTTATAGTTTTAGGATATATGTTGCTGAAGGCCAAGAACTGATCAACTACCTGACTTTCTTTTTGGATCCAACGCTGTGCAAAAACATGTAGGCATTTCAGTAGACACTTTGTAACATTTATTTAAATAATGACTATCTTTGGCCATGTTTGTCATTTGCGACAGCAATTTGTTCCTGATCGAGATAATGGTATTTGGGGGGTGGGTGGCACTGGAAGTAGAGGTTTGGGAATCTCAGGACTTAGGGAAATAAGATAATGAAAACTTCCACCCTGGAGGATGCAAAATGTCCTTGACAATGGCAGATGCAGGGTTTGGCTTTGGGAAGTTCAAGACACAGACTTCCACCTCAAAAGCTGCTTCTCAAGGAAACTGACACAGAATGAAGAGTACAGGATGTTAGAGAATTTTCTTTCTTCCTTTGTGAGAAAATTGATGCTCTCTACATACTAATTAAATTTACATGCACCATTACCTCCTAAGGCTTGAAGTGTGGGGATTAATGTTGAGTGATTATAATGCCTCCACATGCTTTCCATCACATCTTAAAATGGCTCTCTTGTCTGACAGACCCAGCTGTATGAGACAGGGAAGCTGGTTTTCTGTTTTAGAATGCAGGACTCTGGGGCTCTGCGAACATGTCAGTTAATCTATCAATGTCCCTCTCTTTACAGGAACAAAGTAGAAATGATTACACTTACCATAACCCTGGTTGGAAGATTAACGACATGACATTTGACCATCTGTTCACAGTTTTTTAAGTGGATGCTACGAAGCGGAGGTACAAACTAGTGATATTTTATTTCAGTTCCAGTAATCTCATTTGCCCTCAAACTGGAGAGAAGACAGTACTAGTTACCCCTAGGAAAATGGTGCCAGAAAGAACTGTAATTTTTCAAAGCTATATGTTCATAGAGTTTGAAAGAAAGGCACATTTGGAATTAAAGGGACCAGATCAACATAAAAATGAAAACATCCATAGTCTATAGTTGGCTACTACCACTGGAAAATGTAATCAAGAATAACTCAAAAAAAAAAAAAAAAAAAAAAAAAAGAAAAGATTCCATGTGGGAGAGGAAGGAAATGCAAGCAAAATGTGGCTTCTGGAGAACATATATGGCAGAGCTTGCTCATCAGCTGCTGCCCTGACAAGGCATCTGTCAAGGACTTTCCTCACCCAGCTTGCTTTCCGCCCAGTCTCAACAGAACAAAAGCTGACATCCGGAAGGGCTATGGTCTTTGGTCCACTCACCTTCACTGTCCTTCTTACAGCAAAGGGGTCCGGATCCAGACCCCAGGAGAAGGTTCTTGGATCTTATGTAAGAGAGAATTCAAGGTGAGTCCATAAAGTGAAAGCAAGGTTATTAAGAAACTAAAGGAACAGGCCAGGCACTGTGGCTCATGCCTATAATCCCAGCACTTTAGAAGCCAAGGTGGGACAATCACAAGGTCAGGAGTTTGAGACCAGCCTGGCCAACATAGTGAAACCCCATCTCTACTAAAAATGAAAAAATTAACCAGGCGTGGTGGTGGGTGCCTGTAGTCCCAGTTACTTGGGAGGCTGAGGCAGGAGAATTGCTTGAACCTGGGAGGCGGAGGTTGCAATGAACTGAGACCATACCACTGCATTCCAGCCTGGGTGACAGAGTGAGACTCTGTCTCAAAAAAAAAAAAAAAAAAAAAAAAGGAATAAAAGAATGGCTACTCCATAGGCAGAGCAGCCCTGAGGGCTGTGGGTTGCCCATTTTTATGGTTATTTCTTGATCATATGCTAAACACAGGGGGAGACTATTTATGCCACCCCTTTTTAGACCATGTAGGGTAACTTCCTGACGTTGCCAGGGCATTTGAAAACTGTCATGGCGCTGGTGCAAGTGTAGCAGTGAGGATGACCAGAGGTCACTCTCATTGCCATCTTGATTTTGGTGAGTGGGTTTTGACCAGTTTCTTTCTGCAACCTGTTTTATCAGCCAGGTCTTTATGAGCTGCATCTTGTGCCAACTTCCTATCTCATCCTGTGACTTAGAATGCCTCAACCATCTGGAAATGCAGCCCAGTAGGTCTCAGCCTCATTTTACCTAGCTCCTGTTCAAGATGGAGTTGCTCTGGTTTAAATGCCCTTGACATCGTCCCTCAGCATCCTCCAGATTGTTGGCAGCCACTACTAGTAGTGCTTCTAGTCATTAGTATTCTTTCCAACAATAAATTTCAGATGGGACCCCCATTGTGTTAAATAACTGATGCACACATTTTTGTTCTGCCTCCTTACTCACTCCTATAATTCCTACCTGCAGCCTGGAAGCTCCAGGCACACTTCAATTAGAGCAAGCCTAAGTAGGAGGCAATGGGGGAAAACCACAGACAATGGAGGCTCATAACCTCGCTGGGGGGTGCCCATTCTCTGCAGAGGATCCTGCCTCTGGTGAAGTGCTCAGCCCTGACATTTGGGGAGAAGACTTAAAAGAAAAGGCCAGGTCATTATTACAGCTCTTTGACCAGACAGTTAGTGAGGCCAGTCAAAAACACAAAGATTTGCAACGCCTCCTCTAACTTCTGATTTTGCCAGATGCCTTTTGTGGTTTTCTAGAACTGGGATTATTTTCTCTTAGTCTTAGAAGCCCATAGTAAAAATCTGTTCCAGTATCTGGGACAATCCCTGCTATATGATAGACTGACAGACAAATATTTGTTCAATGAATGAATGAGAATTATCACGATCTAGAACATGACGTAAGTTTGCAGTAAGCTTTAAAGTTAGTGTGAGGACTCTACCCAGTGAGCAATGACCCTCATCGTGTAAGGCTGACATTCTTGCTTTCCCTTGGGTTAGATTCTATGCTGCAAAAATGAAGGCTTTGAGATAAGGGATAGACTTACAGTTGTGGGCAAGTGTGACTTCTAGTCAAGAAAAACTCAGGAGCGTGTCAGAATTTGGAATGAAGAAGCGGGAAGGAAGTATGAAGAACCAAGAGGTTATTGGGAGCCTCTGCTCCCCTCACTGAAATCCTTCAGAAGTACTTCCAATTGTATTGGAAAAGTTACTACCTTACATTTGTAATTACATTTGTAACTGTAATTACAGTAGTAACTTTTGTCTGAGACTTGATCTCTAGATAACTTACACAGGCAGGGGTGTGCTGAAGATAGGACAGCATCACTGTGCAATCATCACAGAGATGGATACACATGGAGCCCTTCCTCTGGGGCTGGCACTTACGTTGCATTTTCCCCGCATCAGCCCCGGTGATGCCAGGCCATATCCTGCACGTTAACTTTTCCAGGGCATTCTAAAGGAATGTGATTGATATATTTATACCTCAGAATTATCTAAATAAAATACCATAGACCCATTTACATGTTACAGTATTACAGATGTTCTTCCAGGAACGAGTAAATCTATAAAACAGATTCACCCTCTTTTTGCAGAGTCTATCCCAAATACCTGATGTCCCACTGAATTAACTGGCCTATAATAGCTGGGAAGTAGAGGCCAAAAAGGGACCTTGACATCCATGAGGCTATCTAGACCTGCACTTGCTGCAATTTTTGAAATACTGAAAATTTCATCTAGCCAAGGAGGCAGCCAGGGATGAAACTTGGAAACTACAGGAGGTCTTCAAGTGCCCGATGGTGACATCAGCATCCCTTTATTGTCCCTGGGATGTTCAATGTCAACGGGAGGCTGAGATGCAGTGAGTGTTACTGACAGGAATAATCACAACAACTTTGAAAAACTTTTCGACTTGGAAGACACTGAAGGGAAGTCACGGTTAGGATCCTGGGGATTTCTTATATTCTGTTCCTTTTTGGAGGCTCCATCCAGGGCTCAGGGGTAATAAATGGCTGGGTGACACAGCATCCAACAGACTAGTCTTGAGGCAGTGGAGGATAAACTGACTTAATATAAAAGAAGGATTTATCACATGAATCTTATAGAACAAGGCAGAATATGGCTTGATCATTCAACAAAAGGGCTGTTCATAAAAATGAGACACAAAATATGAAAGGCGGGGGGATATTTGAGTGAGTTATGATGAAAAATTTGATTCTATGACCCACTCTCTATGTCTCCTAGGATTTATGTCCTAAATCTCATCTTAGAAATAAATAGCCTTCATTGTACTTCTGTTAGTTAGATTATATGTTATAGCATTAGTGATTTAAGATTTTGAACATTTGCTTATTAATAACATACATGAAGGCATTTTTTGTTTGGCAAGCTTTTGTGGAAGAAGAGGTGTTTTCAAATTTGTTTTGTTATTTTATTATGACACTATCCAAATTAAGAAATATGACTGGTCTGTGTTGATTTTGCTAAAATAGTTATTAACCTTGACTGGGCACAGTATTAACACATAGTCTGTCTGGTTACAGCCCAGTTTCATTAATTTTAATTATAGCAGAACAAATGGTGTCAATCCAAGATCCAAATGTCCATTCAAATCACCTTAAGCTTCCTGAGTTTTTTGGTTTTGTTTTGTTTTTTCCACCTTAAGACTATAATCCCATGGAATGTTTACACCAAGGTCAAATATTTATCTATGAGGGCTTTACATTTACAAAGACTGTGACAGCAGAACGTTTGGAACGTTCTCTGACCAGAAGTTCAGTGGATGAGAAAGTTGTGTGTGTGCACACAGGTGCATATGCACGCACAGACATGTACACGCATGTGGCTGCATAAACACATCTGTCATATAGAGAAGGCCGACCATGAGCAATGTTTCCATGTATGTGATTCTACTGCCTTGAGAGAAAGAGACAAGCAACCACATGTCAAAATTGCTGATTCATAGCCTGACTGTGAGGTGCTACAGGTGAGGGCCCCCAACAGCAGGCCTTCACATCCCAGCACAAGATCCACACTGTGGAAAGAATCAAACTTGGCCAATTTGATCAAGGAACTTGAGAGAACACTGATTGAGAAAGACCTACAAAAAAAAAAAAAAATGAGTTTCTCCAGGCCGGAAAACACAGACGGTGCATTGGCATATTTCAAGGTGTGCTGTGGGAAAGGATGCCCAAGTCCTTCCTTGTGTGGCCTCCCACTCACCTTCAATCAATTTGATCCTGAAGTAGGCGATGAGGAGGAGAAGCAGCAAAGTCACAGGGAGGAAGACCCCAGAGAACAGGAACCAGCCAGGGAGCTCCCTCAGGAAAGCTGACAGCACAGAGCTCATTGTCAACCAGATCCCACGGTGACCGTGGGATTCACACTCGGGACGGGGGCAGCTTTGCTCTGAATCTGCATTTGTTTTCTCTAGGGCTCTGGCCTTTGTTCAGCCCATCTCAGTGGAACTTTTTGTGGACTTCGCTCTGTTTAAATTGCCTCATGAATTCTGATAGGATTGCTTGCAAGTTACTCTGTAACTCAGCTATTAAGCGTAGAGGAATTGAAAGGTCCATCTTCCAAGCTCTTTCAGAGATGAGTATGTATCTGGCAGGGGTGGGATGACCTGGGAAGCTGAGATTTTTTTTTTTATGATGAGTTTATTTGTAATGAAAAGTACCCGACAAAGCAAACCTCATTGTTATATATGTTCTATGTATTCTCAGACATAGGAAGAGTTTTTCCTGTGTTTCCTAAATTTTAGAGTTAAAAATTTCTTAATGGTTATGCCACTGTACCTAAGTACTTGTGTCTAAAAGAAAGTGAATTTTCTGTTATACACAGGTGATATAACTAATACCAAGGAAAGAGAAACAAGAGTTTTTCCACATGTAGAAATTCTTCCTCGTATATCCTACTCTGAATACTTCTCTGAGAATTGCATTGGTTTAATCATTTATTCAACAAAAATTCAATTCTACTAGAACCCAACCTCTGGACTAGATGCTGGGTATACAAAGAAGAGTAAGTCATGACCCCTTCCCTTTAAGAGTGGAGATAGACCAGCAGAGATGGCCACAGTGAACATGGTGGAGTGGTCGTGATGCGGCCTTATCTCCTTCTTCCCAAGGTGCATCCATCCTTGCTGGCTGCATGAGGTCATACTCTCCTCTGCTCTACTGGGCCTTTCCTGTCACCCATCATTCACAGTTAGGAGGTGGCTGCTAATTGATAGTGGCATGGGTTGTGCAGTAACTCCAAAGTTTCTGGGAGTTACTGGGAAAGAAAGGGCCATCGATGGGCCAGTGTCAAAGTTGACATGGACATGTTGACTATGTTGAGCTGTCATTGACTGCTTTAGTGAATAATTTCCAAAAATATTGGTCTAAAAGTGAAAACTGATGAAAAGAGTCATATTCAAAGGATGCTCTGGAGAATTTGGAAGAATGTGGAGAGAAGCAATTGGCAGCCACCTTCTTGGGCTCGTTCTCCTGTCATGTTCTAACCCGTCCCTGGCCCCCTTTACTGGTAACTGGAGTCGTCCATCAAGGACAAGCTGCTGGCAGTGCCTCCCACATTCTTGCATCAGAGACTTGGCATGAGTGTGCAGTCTTAGACCCAGCTGTAAAGTTTGTACCCTGATTTACAAAATAATAAGATGGAGAGGGTCTCTAGGGTGTTTGCCTGGCATTCTTGATCAATGAACAGTTAGCAACTTCTGTCTAAGAAGAGAGACGTCTTAGTTTCAGGAGGAACTGTTAAGAATACCTGAGTTTAAGTCAGCATCCATTGACTCACTTATGTGCTTCTCTTCTCCCACTCTGCAAACCCATGAATACTGTTACTGCTATTATACTTGCATACCTTCCATTGAGATGACTCTCTGGCGGTCTTTCAGTTTGAACAGGATGCTAATTTGTAAAGTGTCAATCTTCAAAGAACTTCTATGAGCAAGTGACATTACCAGGGAGATGTCAGGCAGCTGTAAGGCAGACGTTTGTCATATTCTTTCTTCCTGTTTCATTCCCATTCAGCAAGCCTTCATTGAACATCTAAACAAAGGTAAGTTAGGGGAACAGGCAAATAAATAAATGACAATAATGTTAGCTTCCAGATCATCATAGAAACAAAGTCTAGTAGAAGCACTGAAGAAAGACTGATTAACTCCAGCCAGGAAAGTTGGCCAAGTTCACTAAAAGTATGGCATTTGAAGGTTGAGCATGGTGGCTCTTGCTACTTTGGGAGGCTGAGGCGGGTGGATTGCTTGAGCTCAGGAGTTCGAGACCAGCCTGGGCAACATGGTGAAACCCTGTCTACAAAAAATACAAAAATTAGCTGAATGTGGTGGTATATGCCTGTAGTCCCAGCTACCTGGGAGGCTGAGGTGGGAGGACTGCTTGAGCCTGGGGAGGTCAGGGCTGCACTGAGCCATGATCATGCCACTGACTCCAGCCTGGTTGACAGAGTGAGACCCAGCTAAGAAAAAAATAGAGGGACATTTGATCTGAGCCTGGAAGGTGGTTAGCTGAAGAATGCCCTCCTCAAACACATGATTTAAGGAGGATAGGGAAGAATAATTTGAGAGTAACTGGATGATGTGTGGTTCAGGCCAGAGAGTGTCTTATGAGTTGAAGCTGTAAGAGTGGAGTGATATCAAAGCTTATAGACTATTGAATGCTCTGCTATGTGCCATGCTATTTGAACAAAGGTGACCAATTAAAGGTATTTGATCATGGAAGAGCACTTAGGTAGTACTTTAAAGAAGGAACTGAAGAGAAGAGATCAGAATAGGCTGCCTCATCATGGTGGCAAGATATAATGAGTTTGGGATTAGTGGTGGCAGAAAGGGGGCGGGGACAAGAAAGCTGCAGAGATGAAACAAACAGCCCTGAAACAAACAATTCAAGGATTACCATAAAGTAATGTTTGAACGCTTATTATATGTCAGGCATGATATAGAACAGTTTGTTTATTGTCTTATTTAATCCTGACAGTAATCTTATATGGAACAGACTCATTATAAAGATGAAGAAGCAAAGCAAAGAGAAGCTAAATGACTTGCCCAAGACACAAATCTGATAAGTGACAAAGTTGGGCATCAAATCCAGAGCCCATGCTCTCATCCGCTGTGCAGTGTTTGGCTGCAAAGATGGTGGTGTTGCAAACCGAGACCTGAACACATGCTGGGCAGCAGGTGTGAATCGAGGGAAGAGACGTCGTTTTTCAGTCTTAAATTAAGTTGGAATTGGTGTAGAGGTGTTCAATCAGAGCCTGGTAGAAATATGGAGAGGCCAAGTCTTGCAATGTAGATTTTGGATTTATTAGTATATAGATGGTAGCTGAGGTGGAAGGGTAGACAGATGCCTCAAAAAGGAATATATAGCAGAATAAAAGAGAAACTAACTACAGACCCTAAAGAATGCTCTCATTGAAGACGTAGCAGGAATGATAAGAACCAAGGAAAAAACCCAAGAAGACAGGAGGCTCTGAGAGGTGGGGAAGGAACCTGGAAGGAATAATGCTAGGAAAATGGTGGCAAAAGAAAGTTTCAAGAAAGAGAGGAGATAAGCAGTATCATCTATGGGATTCGAGGTAATCCTGATCCACACTGAAAGTTTTGACAGCATAATTGTAAAGATTTTCTTTTTTTTTTTTCTCCTTAAGTAGTCTTTTGCAGTATAGTTGGCATACAATGAGCTGCACATACCCAAAGTGTACAATTTGATATGTTTTGACATATGGATATGCCCACAAATTCATCGACACAATCAAATGATGAATATATCCACCACTCTCAAAGTTTTCTTGTGTCATTTCCTATCCCTGTCCCCCACCCCTCCCACTTCCTCAATCCTCAGGCAATCACTCATTTGTTATCTGTTATTGTACATTTGTTTGTACTTTGTAGAATTTCATATGAATGGAGTCATGCAGTATGTCTCTTTCTGCCTAGCTTCTTTCACTCATCATGATTATTTGAAATTCATTCATAATGTTGTATATGTCAATTTCATTGTTTTGTATTGCTGAATACCATTTCATTGTATAGATATCCATTTGTTTATTCATTCACCTGTTCATGGACATTTGGGTTGCTTCTCATTTTAGGCTACTACAGATAAAGCGTCTGTGAAAATTTCTGTACAAGTCTTTATACAGATACGTGCTTCCGTTTCTCTTGGAGAAATACCTACTAAAAATGCTGGATCATATGGTAAGTATATGTTGACATTTTAAGAAATTGTCAGAATGTTTTCCAAAGTGGTTATACCATTTCATAACCATGCCAGCAGTGTATGAGAGTTCCAGTTCCTTTACATACTCAGCTTTTCTCAGTATGGTGACTTTTTAATTTTAGCCATTCCAATGGTGGGAAGTGATATCTCATTGTGGTTTTAGTACGCATTTCCCTAATGATGTTGAGCATCTTTTCATGTGCTTATTTAATAATTGTGTATCATATTTGGTGAAATGTCTGAACTATTTTACTGATTTTTTAAAAAATTCAGTTTTTTATTGAATTTTAAGAGTTCTTTATATATTCTAGATACAAGTCATTTATCTGATGTATGACATGATATACAAATCATTTCTCCCAGTCTTTGTCTTGTCTTCTCATTACCTAACAATGTCTTCCAAATAATGTAAGTTTTAAATTATGATGAAGTTCAATTTCTCAATTTGTTCTTTTATGTATTGTATTTTCATGTCTGAGAAATCTTTGCCCAACCCAAGATCACAGGGATCTATATTTTCTTCTAGAAGATTTATAGTTTTAGGTTTTATGTTTAGGTCTATGGTCTATTGTGAGTTAGTTTTTGTGAATGATGAGAGGTGAGGTTTGAGTTCTTTTCTTTTTTTGCGGAGAGATATTCAATTGTTTCAGCACTATTTGTTAAAAAGATTACGCTTGCTCCACTGAATTGCCTTTGCACCTTTCTCGAAAATCAGAAGTCAAAAATGTGTGGGTCTATTTCTGCACTCCCTTTTCTGTTCTACTGATCTAATTGTTAATCATTGCACAAATACCAGTCTGTCTTGATAACTGTAACTTTATTATTTTTTAGTTTTTAATTATTTTTTTTATTTCCATAGGTTATTGGGGAACAGGTGGTGTTTGGTTACATAAATTCTTTAGTGGTGATTTGTGAGATTTTGGTGCACCCATCATTTGAGCAGTATACACTGCACCCAATTTTTAGTTTTCTGTCCCTCACCCCCTTTCCCACCCTTTCCCCTTGAGTCTCCAAAGTCCATTCTTATGCCTTTGCATCCTCATAGCTTAGCTCTCATTTTTGAGAACATATAATGTTTTGTTTTCCATTACTGAGTTACTTCACTTAGAATAATAGTCTCCAGTCTCATCTGGGTCACTGCAAATGCCATTAATTCATTCCTTTTTATGGCTTTTATTCCATTGTGTGTGTGTGTGTGTGTGTGTGTGTGTATATGTGTATAGGTGGATCTAAATCTATGTATATATATATGCATATATATACACACATATATATACATATATACACACACACACATATATATATCCAGTAGTATTCCATTGTGTGTGTATACACACACACACACACACACACACACACATGCACATACACACACACACAATGGAATACTACTGTATCTAAATCTCTGTGTGTGTGTTTGTGTATGTATATATATACATAAATTTAGATCCAGTTTCATTCTCCTGCATGTGGCCAGCCAATTATCCCAGCACCATTTGTTGAAAAGGGTGTCCTTTCCCTACTTTATGTTTTTGTTTGCATTGTCATAGATGAGTTGTTGAAGATCAGAAGTACTTGAGTTTATTTCTGGATTCTCTATTCTGTTCCATTGGTCTATGTACCTATTTATTCTACCAAAACCATGCCATTTTGGTGACTATGGCCTTATAGTGTAGTTTGAAATCAGGTAATGTGATGCCTCCAGATTTGTTCTTTTTGCTTAGTCTTCATTTGGCTACATGGGTTCTTTTTTGATTCCATATGAATTTTAAGATTGTTTTTATCTAATTCTGTGAAGAATAATGGTGATATTTTGATGGGAATTGTGTTGAATTTGTAGACTGCTTTTGGCAGTATGGTCATTTTCACAATATTGATTCTACTCATCCATGAGCATGAGATGTGTTTCCATTTATTTGTGTTGTCTATGATTTCTTTCAGCAGTGTTTTGTAGTTTTTCTTGTAGAGGAAAATGAATATGAGATGTGTTTTCATCCACGAGCATAAGATGTATTTCCATTTGTTTGTGTTATCTATGATTTCTTTTAGCAGTGTTTTGTAGTTTTCCTTGTAGAGGTCTTTCATATACTTCTAAGTATTTTACTCTTTTTGCAGCTATTGTAAAAGGGATTGAGTTCTTTATTTGATTCCCTGCTTGGTCACTGTTGGTGTATAGGAGAGCTACTGATTTGTGTACATTAATTTTGTATCTGGGAACTGCTGAATTCTTCCATCAGTTCTAGGAGTATTCTGGAGAAGTGTTTAGGGTTTTCGAGGTAAACAATCATATAACCAGCAAACAGTGACAGTTTTGATTTCCTTTTTACCGATCTGGATACCCTTTGTTTCTCTTTCTGATTATTCTGGCTAGAACTTCCAGTATTATGTTGAAGAAGAGTGGTGAGTGTGAGCATCCTTGTCTTGTTCCAGTTCTCAGAGGGAACACTTTCAACTTTCCCCCATTCAGTATTATGTTGGCTGTGAGTTTGTCAAGGATGGCTTTAATTACATTGAAGCATGTCCTTTGTATGCTGATTTTGCTGAGAGATTTAAATAAAGGGATGCTAGATTTTGTTGAATGCTTTTTCTGTATGTATTGAGATGATCATGTGATTTTTATTTTTAATTCTGTTTATGTGGTGTATCACATTTATTGACTTGTGTATGTTAAACCATCTCTGCATCCCTGGTATGAAACCCATTTGATCATGGTGAATTATTTTTT